CCAACTGATAACCACATGAAAACAGCTGAATAAACTTTGTGTCATCATTTCAGGACTCTTGATTCTTATAGAGGTTATGCTTGGCCATTCCTCGACATACCTCGAGAATGTTTATGGATCTCACTGGAGAACATTGACCGATTACAGTGACCTTGAGAGCATCTATAAGCGTTGTTGACCGCTCTCGTTTCCGATTGCAGAATGTCTACGTAAACATGTGCTTGTTTGTGCGAGGTGTTTTTCTTTTTTATATTAGAGGTTTTTTTTCCTCAGGCAAGAAAAAAAAAGTTTGATAGGATTTTTTTTCGCCCCCAACTCCTACATGTGTCCAGTTAACCACTGTTTTTTTGTCTGTCCAAACAGGTCTCGCTTGTAAATGAGTCTTCGAGGCTCAATGTGATTAATATGTTTAAATAAAGGTTGAATGAATGAATTATGATATCAAATGATTCTGGTCAATTTGTGGTACTTGTGCTCCTGGACCCTACTGCTGCTTTTGATACTGTTGACCACAGTATTCTTATATCACGGCTGGAACAGTGGGTTGGGATCACAAGTGCTGCATTAGAATGGTTCCGCTCATACCTGAGTGGCAGGAGTTTTTGTGTAAAGGTTGGTAATAATGTTTCTGCCTCATTACCTCTTTCTTGTGGTGTCTCACAGGATTCGATTCTTAGACCCGTTCTGTTCTCACTTTATTTGCCCCTACTGGGGTCCATCCTGAGGAAACATGGTCTTTCATTCCATTGTTATGCTGATGACTGTCAGATCTACCTGCCTGTGAAACCAGCAAGTGCTTGCTCCATTCACCCTCTGTTAAAATGTCTGAACGACATTAAGGCCTGGATGACTTCAAGTTTCTTAAGTTTTAATGATGAGAATACTGAAGTCATTGTCTTTAGCCCTAGCTCAACTGTCACCACTGATCCTGTCAACCTGGACTCTCTTCAGCCATATCTTAAGCAGTCTGGTAAAAATCCCCGGATGGTTTTAGACTCTGACTTTAAGTTTGACAAACAAATCAACTCTGTTCTGCAGAAAAGCTTCTTCCAACTCAGACAGGTAGCTAAACTCAAGCCAGTGTTGTCCAGACCCGATCTTGAGAAACTAGTCCACGCCTTTGTCACGACCCGATTGGACTATTGCAACGCACTGTATGCTGGGATCAGCAGGCCTCCATCTCACGTATTCAGCTCGTCCAGAATGCTGCTGCTCAGCTTTTAACCGGAACTCGTAGTTCTGAACGTATTACTCCAGTTCTGTCCTCCCTTCACTGGCTCCCTGTTCGTACAAGGATAGTCTTTAAAATTCTTCTGTTGACCTTCAAATGCCTAAATGGCCTCGCACCCCTTTATCTCTCCGAGCTACTGGAACCTTACGTTCCCTCTCGGGCCCTGAGATCATCTGATCAGCTGCTTTTAGCTGTTCCAAAAACAAGACTGAAGCTCAGAGGAGATCGGTCTTTTTCAGTCATGGGCCCCAAACTCTGGAACAACCTGTCCCCCAACATCAGGCAGGCCACCTCCCTTCCACACTTCAAATCCCTGCTAAAAACACATCTGTTCTCTCAGGCATTTCACACAGTGTGAATTGATCTAGTGTTTTTTTAAAATCTGTGACCCTATGTTTTAAATGCATTTTATTAATTTTTCAGTTATTATTATTAGTGTATTGTATTTTTTTCTCTTTAATTTTACTTCCATTGATTGTTGTTGTTGTTAAGCACTTTGATAACAGGTTCTGTTTTAAATGTGCTCTATAAATAAAGTTGACTTGACTTTTTTAAAACAACAATACAGAACTCAAGTTTGAATTTGTTGCAGCTTTTCTCAACCTCAAGCCTACAAAAACGCTGTGGTGTCTTTAAAATGTGTGTTTGTCTCAGGAAACCAATGAAATTATAATCCCAGTTGTGAAAAAAGCTGAAACTTTGTGTAGATGGAAAATGAAAACAAAATGTAACGATTTTCAAATCTCATAAATCCAGTTTTGGTCCTGAAAGAACCACGTGAGACATGACTACTGTTTAAATAAAAAAAAAAATAGTACCATTAAAACATATTTTAAATTTTGTGGCAGCAACACGTCTCATAGTAGTACAGATGAAAAACAGCTGGGGGAGAACGGTGCAACTAATTAAGTTAATTGGCAAAGAGCCAGTAAGAGGACTGAGTATAAAAATCTTATTTTAGAGAGCCTGAATCTCTCAGCGGTAAAGATGGACAGAAGTTCACCCACAAAAGTGACACATTTCACACTATTAATCATACAATAATAATAACTGTTTTAAACTTTCAACATGTCCAACACTTTAATCTGGGGACAAAGATAAAAAATAAAGTATATATTGTATTAAAAATTGTTAATAACCATAAAGTCATTCACTCTTTGCTGTCACATTGAAATTTATTATTTTTGATTGAAAAGTATTTAAATTGAGCACAGTACATAAAGTGACAATGATGTTGAAAGTGCCAAAGACCAGGCTGTCCTTCTCAACAAGGCCACAGAAACACACACACACACACACACCCACACACACACACACACACACACACACACACACACACACACACACACACACACACACACGTAAAACATGTCTGAAGACATGAAGATGCGCCCTCTCGATAATAAGTTTTGTTTGGGTTATAAATTTAGAGGAAGGTTGGCACATAAAGGCAGTTCCTCACATATAAACATAAACTAATTATATGTTTAAGAATAATGTTAAAAACTGGTGCCGTTGTCAGAGTTTAGTAGCTGCTTAAAAACTGTCAAAAGGGCAAACTGTAAAGGTCAAATTAGTAAAGCAGTAAATTTGAGGATTTTTGGTGTTAAAGTGCTGTAAATCACAGAGATGTGATTGAATATTTAAGCTAGGCTTTGAGAAATTAAACATCATTTTTTCAATGTTCTTAGACAAATAATTTAAAATTGATATATACAGTAGTCCCTCACTAATTCATGGTTTGACTTTCGCAGACTCGCTTTATCGCGGTTTGTGGACGTACAGTCCATAATATTGTGCAAAATAAATCATACAGGACATGATTGTCACCTTTAATATTACTCACGTGACTGGGACGGTACTGGATACTGTACTGTACAGTAAAAAGTTAAAAGAAAAAATAAAATACTGCAGACAGGCGCCGCCATTTTGTAGTTTTCTTTCAGTAAGCCTCCACTGTATTCCGGCTCATAATGACCACATTTCCCAGAAGGCAACAGGGTCCCGCCCAGAAGCTGTTTCAATCTGCTGAAAAGCTAGAGGTAGAGTTTTGATCTGAACGGCGCTCAGTGGATGCAAAGAAGCCGCACTGAACCCACCAAACCAGAGCAGAACCGGAGCAGAACCAGACCTCCAGATCATCGAGGAATCTTGAGATCTGAGCCGGCCCACAAGGACTTCCAAGTGAGAACGTGTGCCGTAGGTCCGGAGCTGTTCTGTAGCCCAACTGGACTTTTTTTTAGCCAGAATTGGACTCAATCTACCACCTACAGTCCCACGCCAGCCCACTGAAGCACCAAATGCGCTTTGGCGCTCAAGAGTTACACTGAACCGGATCAGAACCGGACCTCCAGACTCAGTTGTGAACCCTAGAGGTCCTAGCTGGCCCATGAGGACCTCTGAGCGGGAACACCCTTGTAAGTAAAATTTAGTTGCTACATATAAGTATGTTGTTAAAATTAGTACGTTTAAGAGTTAACAGCATCGACTGTGAGCTTCATCGCTGCAGGGTACGTCTGCAGAAACGGAACCAAGTTGGACCAGAACCGAGTTGGACCGGAACCGAGAGCTGCTGCTGTGTTCTGTAGAGCTGGTGAGTAATGTTCAGTAGCTACATATACAGTACTGTACATGTATTGTTACAGTGACGTAGGTTTGAGTTTAGAACATTGCAAGAGTGTGGGAAGTATCTATAAAACCTTAAAATATATAAATACTAAAATAAATATAACATTGCTACTTAGTGGAATTTCACTTATTGCAAGGGGTGGGGGTGGAGGGGGGTCGGAACCAAACCCCCACAATAAACGAGGGACTACTGTACATTTATGGAAGTGTTCAGATCAACGTACAAAAACAACTTGTGTTAAACCCCTCATAGTGTGGGGGCTTCACGTTCACCGTCTTCACTTTGTTAATGACATTTAATGCCTTTTTCTTCCAAGCTAATTCTTTCTTGGCAATCTTTATTTCTTAATGGATTATTTTAGATTGGCTTATTGAGATTGAAGACACACATCAAAATAAAACATGGGACTGCAGCGACATCGTCTGTGTTTAAATACACAGCTAGCTCTGTGGTCTAAATGTGTAATTAGCTATATTTTATTACCGTGTTGGGCAGAGCTGACTGCGTTTCTTTTAACATTCTTCCAGATTGTTTTGTTATAAGACACTTTTGGAGCTGTTTCTAATTTGGGTTGTCATGTCCTCTGCTGGTGTTGGTCCACTGTGTTTTCTTAAGTCCTCAGCAGGTAAGACGCTTCTGATGGTTCAGTAGTGGCTGGACTTGAGGACTGAGACGCTTGTAGTTAATCAGCTGATCAGGGAGTGACACCAGGAGTTTACAATATTGAAACTTTTCACAGTATTCTAATTTTCAGAGACACTGAGTTTGTTTTTTTCATTATCTGTAAGCCATAATCATCAAAACGACAAGAAATAAAACTTGAAATATTTCACTCTGTGTAATAAATCAATGTAAAATATGAGTTTAATTTTCTGAAATCATTGACAAATATATTGAACTTTATCATGATATTCTAATTTTTTATGTAGATTAAACACAATTGAATTTTTCACTTTGTTTTGAAAAGGTTGTTTTGTTTAATGTTACAAAAATCTAATTTATAAGTCTGGTGTTGCACATTTGCATGTTTTTGGCACGTGGGACTTTCAAAGTATATAAATGCTGCTGTGTCGAGTGTTGAACAGAAACATTGAAATTGTAGTTTTTTTCAGGACCAGTACTCAGAGTAAACTTTCGCCTGTTATTTGAGGACAATGACTGATCCTTTAGTAGCGTTCACGCTCACATGCACCAAACGGGGGTAAAGTCTATCCTGCTGGCTAAAAGTAAACATGTCAGCTGGTGGCCTCGCTCTGCCATCACTGACGCACCGCTTCATCATGTCAACACAAACACTAAAAAAAACAACGTAATAAACACACTTTCACTGCCTTTGGTGAGAAGGAAACACACCCACACACAGACACACACACAAGGGTAGCATGGCAGCTGGTCCATGCAGGTGGAGGTAACCCCAGGCAACAGGAGGAAGAGGAGAAGCTTCATCTCCTCAGCTCCTGATGAGCGTCAGGAACTCGTCGCGGGTTTTTGGATCTTCTCTGAAGACTCCCAGCATGGTGCTGGTGACGGTTTTACTGTTCATCTTCTGGACGCCTCGCATCACCATGCACATGTGTCTGCACAGAGGAGAGGGTGGATTCAGCTGAAAAAGTTGATTTCTGGATCAGCAGGAGAAAAGTGGCAGCCACAGCTTTGTGCACAGTCAGAAACATCACGGAACAGTTGGTAAAGCTGTTCCTTCACAGTAAGAAGGTTGCCGGATCAAATCCCAGAACCTTTCTGGGTGGAGTTTTTATGTTCTATACCGTGCATGTGTGGGTTTTCTCTGGGTACTCCAGTTTCCTCCCACAGATGAAAAACATGCATGTTAGTCTGATTGGTAACTCTAAAGTGTCTCTAGGTGTGAGTGCTTGTTTGTCTCTACGTGTCCCTGTGATGGACTGGAGACCTGTCCAATGTGTCCCCCGCCTCTCGTGCAGTGACTGCTGGATATGGACACCAGCCACTCGGAAAGAAAGAACCGAGTAAAAGATAATGGATGGATGAACTCATTTATTTACCAAATCTTTGTTGATGCTGAGACTGTGCAGGAAATTGAGACCATTGGTTTAAAAAGTGCTGGGACCTTAACACTTTACAGCTTTTTATTTTCTGTAAACACTTTCAAAAGGTCCATCCTTACTGTAACTTAATGCATGAACAAACTGTTGCAGGTTTACACAAAGTTTGTTTTCTCAGTCATCCAGGTATATAACAACAAAAAAGGTTGAATCATGTC